ATGGCTGGCATGTTGTTGGGGGTCCCGTAGCCAGCGCTGTTGGCCTGCACCAGGCCGTGGTGGGGGTGGGGGTCGCCGTAGTCCGGGTCTGGGGCGCCGTACTTCTGCTGCGAGGGACAGCCCTTCATGGGAACGTTGGCGTAGGCAGTGGACATGGAGTAAGACACCCCCTGGTGGTGCTTCCCGAAGGACGGAGGAGATGGGGTGTCGTAGCCTGGACCCCCTCCTCCACCCATGGGGTGCATGGAGTTGAGGAAGCTGGCGGAAGACTGCATGGTGAGGGGCGGAGACCCCGTGGGCGAGGGTCCTCCTGAGCTGGAGCTGAGGCCCTTGGACTTCTGGTCCTTCTTGTACTTCATGCGTCGGTTCTGGAACCAGATCTTGATCTGGCGCTCCGACAGGTTCAGCATGTTGGCCATCTCCCCCCGCCGCGGCCGGCACAGGTAGCGGTTGAAGTGGAACTCCTTCTCCAGCTCCACCAGCTGGGCGCTGGTGTAGGCCGTCCGGGCTCGCTTCGACGACGCTGACGACCCGCTGGTCGGGCTCTTCTCCCCGCTGCTGCCGCTCTCCGCTCCTCCTGAGGCTGAGGAGAGACGAGAGGAAGATTAAACAAAACAAAAAAACACAAAAATAACAGACAACGTAAAGAAATGATTGAAAACACGAAGACGGATTAGAAAAGGAGGGAAAATGATGAGCAGGAAGACGGAGAGACTCGGACCTCATCCTCCTCCACGCTGGAGAAGATGGAAACATCCAGGTTGTTAATGAAGCCGAGTTCAGGCAGCGCTGCAGAATGACCCTTTAATATTAGTTGTCAACACTTCATAACTGTGGCAGTTATTAAGAGGCCCAAGCCGCGGCGCTGGCCCAAGGCGGATAAATTGCATCTCAAGTGGAAAGATGGCGCCCCCTCCCTCCCCTCCTTCACCTCCCCCTCCTTCGCCTCCGCCTCCGTGCTCCCCCCCCACTACACCACCACCCACACAGACGTCCTCGCCTCCCGTCAAACTGTAACACCAGCTGTGCTCCAAGGACAACACCGCGAGCGTGAACTGAGTCTGACCTCCCGCTC